CAAGCGCTTCAGAAAATACTTGATCATCGTGGGTACTCCAACCAGATTTTAAAGAGGTAATTTGAGTTCCCTCAACAGAAATATCAAATAAAGGTTCGGTGTCATAGTTTGGTAGTGCAATCGACCCAAAGAAAATCCTGATTACATAGTGCCCATGGGGAACTCTATTGATCATGTAACAATTTTCAGGACCTGAGGAGAGGGGAAAATAGCGAAGTGTATCAAGTGGAGGAGTGATAAAACTCGGGTGGGTCGCATTAAAAGGTATCCCCCCTGAATAATCAAAATCCTTAAACCATGTGGTATTGGATGGTTTTGTAATCACATTCTCCCGAGCTCCACAGCTTATGCGCATAGCAAATGGCGCTGTACTCATAAGCATATTACACAAGTTAAAACCAAAATCCGAACAGGAAGACAATGTAAAGCATCAGGTCATATCTCTAAGCTTTATAAACATGTGTTGTGTGCATCATGGCTAACAAATCGTAATACCAACTTCACCAAACATGTGACAGAGACCAAATCTTCTCCAAATTTGAGTATGCATTTTACAGTGTCCTAACTGCTAACTGATGTGAAAGCGGATAACGATACTTATGCATTTTGTGGTAATCGCCTCATTCACTAAAAAGACAAAGCAAGATAAAAATCGAAAAATGCACCATCTGCAATTAATACACAAATGCGAAGCTCTCTGTTTCCAGTAAAAAATCTTAATCATCAGCTTTGCGTTTCCCGTTAATGACGAAACAAAACCTACATTAAGCATTGTTTTAGGCCATTCTCTGTTTCCAATTAGCAGATTCCTTTCCTTTTCCATAAGTAATTCACGTTCATTGAAAGCAAAACACTTATTATTCTCCACTTTTACTCTCCGATTCACTTCCATTTCTCCAAAAACATCAAATTCCATACAAATAATAGAAAAATCACGAGATCTCCACCAAAATTACACTAAAAACTAAATGAATTAGCAACGGTACGCAGTTCAAACTAAATCATCAGTCCAAAATTGACTCCAACACACTGAAATTTCACTTCAATTTTCAACACTCCAAGAATCAAAATAAGCACCACAAATTGCGAAGCAGCAATGCAATCGAGAATCGAAAAGCAAAGGCAAAAGTTCACGAGCACTCACGGGGTCTGGCCGAAGCGACTGAAAACACCGAGCAGCAGAGCAGAAGCAGCAGCCACGGAAGAGGAAGACGAAGACGATGAACAGACCTAGCCAAATGCTTTAGCTCCGAACCACGCAACGCCCATGTGCCATTTGCTTTTCTCATTCTCTTCCTGTAATTTTGCTTTCCGATTTCACACTCACAGCGAGAGGTGAGGAGAGAGAGAGAGAGGAGAGGAGAGGAGAGGAGAGAGAGAGCAAATGGACGTGTGTGCGAGTAGCGTGCGTAATTACAGTGGGGGATTTAATTATTTTCCTTGATTTGTTGACTCCCGGAAAAATAGAGGAGATTATTAATCTCCTGCGGTGGTTTTACGGAATCTTCGTGAAGGTGCACTTATCGGACGGCGAAGATGGCACCTCGGTCTACCAGATATTCTTTATTGTTCAATGGTTGGGTGGGCCCCGCGCCACACACCGGACTTTGTGTAGACGACAAAGCACGTGACAAAGATAACATGGTGAATAAAGAGGGAGGTTCACGTGGAATTACCGGTTTATTCTTTTATGTCCCATTTTTTTTTTGGTCGGAATATTTAAAGCCAATTTGCCAAATTGTCAGTGTCGATTGGGTTTCGTTTTGGGTGCAAATTGTAACTTTATTTTTTTATCAACCAATATATTTTATTAAATTATATATTAAATTAGTTATCGACGAGTTCAAATCCACGCATTATGAAAGGGTTCAATTTTTTTCTACCATTGAAGTAAAGAGACACTTTTCAAATTCTAACATTCTGTTATTTTGGAAATATAATTTTCTCCCACTTTCTTTTTGGAAATTAATTTTCTCCATCGATTTAGGATTATGTTGATCTTTGTCCTTAATCAGATAAGGATAGTTTGTTTTTAAAAATTAAAAAATTGGTATTATTCGAATTTACACTTGTATGTTAGTTGTTTAAGATTTAGCTATAATATTTACATATATTTACTATTTAATACAATAAATTGGATTTGTTTGTTTGTAGTTGTTGTATTGATCGGACTGTTAAGGGTGGTCACGAGTTGGTTGGATAAAGTTTTAACTGTCCCGCTAATGAAACATAAATTATATTGTTCATGAATATTATAACACGTTAATTGATAACGCTGTGTGATAATGACCAACCAAAATATTTCGAGTTTGTGGACTTCCGGTTTTGAAGTTTGACTCCTTTACAGCATCAATCTGTGCGCATTGCGCAATCGTCGGGGGAGGGCTTTGTGATGAATAAGCAAGCACAGCTGACCTCCAAAGTCCACTATTAGGTCATATCTCGCAAATTCTTGAACAAACCCACCCAAAACCCAACTAATCCCACTATTAGGTCATATCTCGCAAATAAGTAAGAGCTAGGAAGTTATTTTAAAATAACTGAAAGTGGTTTTGGTGAAATTGTTTTGGGTTCCAAAGTGCTATTTTGAAAAGGCACATTTTCAAGATCCACTTAAATTTTCACTTAGAATTGGTTTCAAAAACATTTTCATAAAAGACGCTTTCAGAGAATTGAAAAGCATTTACTAGTGAACTAGTAAAAACTTGATCCTTGTAGAATTAGACGTGGCGAGTTACGTATTAGAGCTTTGACTCGTTTAAATCATACAAGAATATCTTATAATAAAATGATAATTTGCAAGTGATGGATTGCCATGATTATTAAAGTCCTCATCTTTAACTCACTCATCGTAGTTTAAACCTTCCAACAATATAAATTAAATTAAAATATCGTTTGTATTAAAAGAACGATAAATTAGTTACAGGATGCTTTAAGATGTGGATGGTAGCATTCGATTAATTATTAAATTTTCATTAAAAGTGGGTAATTTGATAGGTATCTCCTTTTAATTTCTTTTCTTAAATGATGAGAAATAGACATCTTTTTGTCTCCATTGATCATGGACCAGTTTGTGGGTGTGCTATAAATTATCACACTAATTTGGCCGGATGGAGTCCTTCAATTTAGTCGTGGTGGGATTTTATTGACATTTACTATTGTGAGCATGAAATTTCATTTATGGGGACGATTTGATATAAATTTTGTGGTTAGAGAATTAAGACACATATTTCGTAATTATTTTAATATATGTTTCAAGTAAGTAAATGTGTTATAAATTAGGACTCCTATGTCATACCACAAAATTCGAGTAATCGACATTAGCTAGTAAATTTAGGGTTTAACTTTTAAGATAAAAAGGAATTTGCTTTGTACATCAATACTAGAACAACCCTTTTATTTTTATTTTTATTTTTTGACAAACAACAGTGTTAGTGGGTTAAATTGTTAGTTGTTAGAGAGAAAGAGAATCGGCGGAGATTAAACATGCACATGCATAAGTATAATTACTTTCTACCACAACCGTAAAACACTATCTACCTGAAAAGTTTATCCCTTTAATAAGCAATGATTGTTGCATTCAGCCAAAACAACATTCTAAAGCCTTATGCGAAAATAAAAGTACATTCTATCAAATGCAACTCCAATCGTTTCACCATAATTAAGGTATGTCATGCATCGCATGTAGGTACTTCATCATTCGAGAGAGAGTTTTTTGTCACCAATTAATTCACCACATGTCAAATGTCAACTAGACATAGTTGTAAGAGTACAGAAAATCTCTCCCATTCTTTATATATATATATATATATATCACAAAGATCAGAGCTGTCATCGTTGCGCACAACTTTGATCATCTCGCCTTTAGTTTCATCATCGTTGCGGTTTGGATTCTGAATAAAATTACCCATACCAAGCAAAGAGTTGGAAGATGCGATAGCGATCGACTTCATGTTCCAACTCTTAGTTATAAGATGTTTCAAAGATGTTTCGAATAATTATATTATTCGATCGAACAGAAGAAAAATGTCACAGAATAAATAATAAAAGGGAAGAAGGAAGAAAACAAACGTGTTAGGCACACCCTACATGATGTTTCTTCTCTTTTTCTTGGATTTTTCGACGGCATCGAATCCGGTTTAAAATATAGCAAATTACTTTTGTTTTTCTTTCTTGCAATGTACCTCATAGTGAGGTTCATATCCATCACCCGATCTATTAAGCATTTACTCATATACTTATTTTAACGAGTGAGTTGAGTTGCTCTGTTTGTGTTTGCTTGGATTTAGTCTTCCCCATACATTTTCACCAGTCCAAAATCTAAGATGTTGGGTTTCATAGTTGAATCCAATAGAACATTGCTAGCTTTTAGATCCTTGTGGCTGGCTTTCAGTCTTGAGTCTTGATGAAGGTATAACCCCTCAAGCGATTCCAACAATAATCTCACTGCGCTTTTCCCCTTCCAACAATGAACTTCTACTTTCATCTTGTCCAAAAACATAAATTCAAAGTATGAAGAGTAAATAAAACGAAAGATAGCCTTGACAAGCTCTGCTGTAATTAGTTCTTCGTTATAGACTTCAGTTCATTCGAGTTATAGAAATCATTTAAATATGAGGTGAATAAATCAAGGGACTAAAAAAGAATCAAGGGACTTCAAACAAAAGGGGATGCGCATGAGGAGAAAAAATGGTGAGCGGAAACACTTCCCATGAAAAAACTGTTGCTATTTGTAAATTAAAAGGTATATTAATTTTCTTTATTTTAGATATTAGTCCAACACCACACCAAATATTACGCTAAATTAGTCCAACTTAGTCTAGTCTAAGTTAGTCTAGATTAGCCCCCGAACCTAGTCTAGTTCTAAATAGTCCAGTACAACAAATGCATCCAAAAAGTCCACCAACTTTTAAAAAGGTCCAAGCTTTTTTATTCTTATTCTATTTAATTTTTATGAGTTCCAACATCAACAAGCTTCACTTTACTTGGAGAATCTTCACTTTCAAGGCATGGTAAATTTTGTTCACCCTTTCTTCATACGGTAACAAATTGTATGTGGTTAATACATTATCTTTTGCAAGCTGCTACAAGTACATATATATTGTGGAACATGTCGGGTAATCCTAGGCCTTTCTTTAGCGAGCTTCTATTTCTGTACATGTCACATCATTTATAGAACTAGCTCCTTCAGTACTCGTTGATGGATCTACTCTAGTACAACTCCTCCTCAACAAAAATGCAGGCTGTGTTGGGGAAGGAACTGCTGCCTCGTTACCTAGCATGAAAACAACCGCCGACATGGTTGGCCGGTCAGCAGCAAACTCTTGCACACACAAGAGGGCAATTTGGATGCATCTCACAACTTCGTTGACATGGTACGATTCCCCCATGGATGGATCAACGATTTCCAAGGCTTTGCCTTCTCTCCACAGGTCCCAAACCTAAAAGAGTTTTGAAAAAAATCAACCAAGCATGAATAAAGTAGGGGATAAACTTGTGGGAAAATCATTGTTTACAAATAGACTATAGTTAGCTTACATATCCAATCAAATTTGAGTGGGGATAGTTTCTGTTGTAGTTTCTTCTGCCAGTTATGATTTCTAGCAGTAAAACGCCAAAGCTATACACATCAGATTTTACTGAAAAATTTCCTTCCATTGCATACTCCGGTGACATATAATCACTGCAACAATATAAAGAGATCATGGTGAGACTTGTACTCGGAAGTTTGAACTATTAACCTACTATTTTGGTAAGCTCTAGCCAATTTATATCTTCAGTTTTGATGAAATTTAATTAACTTACTATGTTCCGACCACACGATGTGTATTTGCTTCACATTGGTCCCTTAGAAATATTCTTGCCATACCAAAATCTGCTATTTTGGGGCTCATAGATGCACCCAGTAGAATATTACTGGCCTTTAGATCCCTATGGATAATCCTTATTCTCGAATCTTGATGAAGATATAAAATCCCTCTAGCAATCCCACAAATAATCTCAAAGCGTTTTGTCCAATCTAAAAGATTTCTTTTTGTATCATCTGGATACAATAAGAAGTTGAGACCAAATCAATTCTTGTTAACTTTAGTTTCAAAACGAAATTAAAGGAAAAAAGGAAAAAGAGGTACCAAAAATAAAAGAGTCCAAACTTTTGTTTGGTACGTATTCATAGATTAGCATCTTCTCTCCATCTTCAACGCAGCAACCTATAATCTTGACAAGGTTCCTGTGTTGGAGTTTCGCAATTATCACAACTTCATTCTTAAACTCTTCAATTCCTTGATCAGAATTATTCGATAGTCGTTTCACCGCTACTTCCTTTCCATTATGAAGTACACCCTGAAATTATAATCCAAGTAGTTCTGTTACAATTCATTTTTAAAAGCATCAAACATGAATTGTCATGTTTGTTTGTAAGCTTCTAGGTTAACCTGAAGTTATGCATGATTCGGAAAATTATAGGAGGCTAACTACCTTATAGACTGAGCCAAAACCTCCTTTCCCAAGCTTGTTCGCTACCGAAAAATTGTCCGTGGCGGCTGCGACGGTTGTTAGATCAAAGAATTGTAATTCTGAGTTTATTTTACTTTGATCATTGAGATCTGTTCCATCTTCCATGAAGAACATATTTTTTCTCTGCCTCCCTGCTGTCATGAAATGCATAACAAGCAATGCAACGTTAGAGCCTTTTGGTCATTAACAATCAGTATTGCCCGACACTAGAAGAAAACTTACGGTAACCATTGACATTAGTTGTACATAATGAGTCTTCTACCCATCTCATTAACGTAGTGTTGATGTAACAGAAGACCGTACACCACGGGGATGCTAATTAAGATAGATAAAGAAAATTTATTTACCTTGCCTCTTCCTCCTTACCAACCAACACAAAAGGAATACTAGGACAAGGAACACGAGAGCGGATACTAGTGAAGTTGCCAGCCTTGCCTTCTTGCCAATTGCAGAACCCTTCTTGCTAATTACAGAACCATTTGCAAATTGAGCTACAAGCATATAAAACAAAAATTAAAATCCAAAGAAATCAACAGTTGTGAACTGTAAACAGTAGCAAATCACCATCAAAAATCAAGGGAAACTATGTAAGTAGCTATCAACTTGCAACTACTATCCAACAAGATTTGTTCGTATTAGAGAAATTCTGGTAAAAAGTGTAGAATACAAAATGATATGAGTATATGAAACATAAAGTGACTACCTAGAGTAGCTGTATCAACTCGTACATACAAGTCCTGCCTAACATTTGAAAAAGTTCTTGTGTCTATCAAGTCCCCGTACCACAACACGCAACCCGTCCCTCCTCCCCTTTCATCTGCACTCGTGTATGCCATGCAAGAACAATTCTTCATGCACTCTTGCTCACACCCTTTCAGACTCAAACTCATATTCACACGTGCCCTAGATGAGTCGGGTACCTTCACGCGTGCCACCTTAACAAACCCTTCCCCTTTTCGGCATGTAGACGATCCCGATTTTCTCAGGCATCCACCCAATCCAACTCTCAGATTCCAATCCTGGGGGAACTTGGGTTCAAATCCGGGCAGACAAAGGCAAGAGAAGTTAAAATTACTGTATGGGTCACAGTTACTATTTGGACCACACTGTCCATAGTAGTCACATCACTCACTAGGGTTGAAACTGTTGGTATATGGTCCAGCCCATGATCAATGTTCTAGATTATTCTAGTAAGCAAGAGAGATGGCTGGAGCATGCTAGACAATTCTAGCATGTTATTAAGTTGATGGAAGAAGCTAGAGAGTACTAGCTTCCTTGGTTGCAAATGGAAAGATCTAGAAGCCACACTTTTGTGGCTAGTCTAGATCTTTCTATGCTAGAGGTTTGAAGAATACACTAGAAACTAGTAGAATGCCAAACCCTCACCTATAAATATGGGTGTGATGTTGTAGTGAACCAACAAATCAAGAGAAGAGTGAGTAGCAAAGGATCAAGTCCAAAGCTAGAGTTCCACTCCAAGAGTGAGAGTGAGAGTGTTCCACTACACATTGTGTGAGTGAAGTTTAGAGTGATAGAAAGTGTGTGTTATACTTTCTTGTATCCATCAAGCCTTGTCTTTGGCTTGGTAAGACTACTCTTGTTGTATTCATCTTTTTCATATAGTGAAGATTCCTTGTTTGGTGGACGTAGGCATAAATTGCCGAACCACATAAATTCTTGGCGTCCATTTTCTACTTTACCTTGTGCATTCTCTATCTTGTAGTACCGACATTCCTAACAAGTGGTATCAGAGCCCGGTTGGCTCGTACTACGAGATGGAAGGAAGTGGCACTATGATCAAACTCACCAACTCCAATTGGGTAACATGGAAGCCAAGGATGGAGGACATTCTCTATTGCAAGGATTTGCATGAGCCAATTGAAGGAGATGCCGCTAAGCCCGAGAGCATGTCCGATGCCGAGTGGAAGAAGATGAATCGCAAGGCTATTGGCACAATTAGACAATGGGTGGATGATAGTGTTTTTCACCATGTGTCTAATGAAACCAATGCTCGCGAGTTTTGGACGAAGCTTGAGTCCTTGTTCGAGAAGAAGACCCCAGCCAAGAAAGCCTTCTTGATCAAAGAGCTCATCAATGTGAAGTACAAGGATGGTTTAAGTGTAGCAGAACACTTGAACAATTTCCAGAATATCATCAACCAGTTGGCTACTATGAAAATGACGATCGAGGACGAGCTACAAGCGCTCTTGTTACTTGGATCCTTGCCAGACAGTTGGGAGACCTTTGTGGTGAGTATAAGTAACTCTGCTTCTAATGGTGTTCTTACTCTTGATAGTGTTAAAATAGAGCATGCTCAATGAAGAAACAAGGAGAAAGACTTCTGGCACAGATAGCAGCCAAGTATTTGTCACAGAGAACCGCGGAAGAAGCAAGAGTAGAGGACCTAGAGGTCATGGCAGGAGTCCTAGCCGATCCAAGTCAAGGTTCAGGGGTGCATGCCACCATTGTGGCAAAGAAGGCCATATGAAGAAAAATTGTCGAGTTTGGAAGAGAGAGCAAAGGGAAGGAAACAATCAGAAGAAAGATGATACTGGCAATACCACTGCTGTCATATGTGGTGATGTACCAGAAATATTGTCTGTTGGTGAATGTCTGCATATGGGCAACTCTGACAGAGACATTGAATGGATCTTTGACAATGGAGCTTCCTTCCATGCTACGTCCAAACGGGAGTTCTTCAGTACATACAAAGAAGGTGACTTTGGCATAGTGAAGATGGGGAATGAAAGCTATTCCAAAATTCTTGGAATTGGTGATATATGTCTAAGAACTAATCTCGGCTGCCAATTGATGTTGAAAGATGTGAGACATATTCCTGATATACGTCTCAATCTGATATCCATCGGTACCCTTGATCGACAAGGATATTATCACCATATTGGCGAAAGAAAATTGAAGCTTACTAAAGGCTTAATGGTGGTAGCAAGAGCACGACTTTGTTGTACGTTGTACCGGTCAAATGCCAAGGTTTTGAAAGGTGAGTTGAATGCTGTGGAGGACTCATCTCTAGACTTATGGCATAAGAGGCTAGGCCACATAAGCGAGAAAGGCCTACAAGTTTTGGCAAAGAAGTCTCACATTCCCTTTGCCAAAGGTACGTCGTTAAACTCTTGTGAGCATTGTTTATTCGGAAAACAAAGAAGAGTTAGTTTTTCTGTTCCATCTACAAAGAAAGGAAATTTGTTAGATCTTGTTTATTCAGATGTGTGTGGACCCATGGAAGTCGAGTCACTTGGAAGAAATAAATATTTTGTTACTTATATTGATGATGCTTCACGAAAGGTTTGGGTGTATTTGTTGAAATCCAAAGACCAAGTGTTTCAGACATTCCAGGAGTTTCATGCCATGGTGGAGAGGGAAATTGGGAAACCTCTCAAGTGCCTTCGTAGCGACAACGGCGGTGAGTACACATCTCACCAGTTTAGAGAGTATTGTGTGAAACATGGCATACGTCATGAGAAGACGGTTCCTGGAACTCCACAACATAACGGTGTTGCTGAAAGAATGAACCGAACCATCATGGAGAAAGTCAGGTGTATGCTGAGGACTGCAAAGTTATCTAAGCAGTTCTGGGGTGAAGCTGTAAGGACAGCCTGCTATTTGATCAACCGATCTCCATCAGTACCATTAGGTCTTGATGTTCCAGAGAGAGTATGGACTGGTAATGATGTGTCTTACTCTCATCTGAAGGTGTTTGGTTGCAAAGCTTTTGTGCATGTGCCCAAAGAGCAGAGATCGAAGTTAGACTACAAAGCTACACCGTGCATCTTTCTTGGTTATGGCGGTGAAGATTTTGGTTACAGATTATGGGACCCATACCAGAAGAAGTTTATCCGAAGTAGAGACGTGGTCTTTTATGAAGAACAAACAATTGGGGATTCGGATAAAGAGGCACAACCAGATGGCGCAGTCAGAGGAGTTGATCCATTAGCTTCAGATGAAGAAAGTCACGATGACATCCCTGAAGCAACTGCCAATGAAGTGCCTGCAGAATCAGATAATGCTAATCAAGAGGAGCCTGATCAAGATGTGCCAGACCATGAGATTGCTGATCAGGGGGAGCCTAGTCAAGAAGAGCAGATTCAAGGAGAACCCAATCAGGGGGAGCCTCCAGCCCTACAAGAGAATGAAGATCAGGTCAGAAGATCCATCAGAAGTCGAAGACCGTCTACCAAGTATTCTTCATCAGAGTATATCATGTTGACTAATTATGGAGAGCCCGAAACATATGAGGAGGCCAGAGCTCATAACGACAGTGACAAATGGATGAAGGCAATGGAGTCGGAGATGGATTCCTTATCAAAGAATGATACCTATGAGCTGGTGGAGCTTCCAAAGGGCAGGAAAGCATTGAAAAACAAGTGGGTGTTCAAATTGAAAAGAGACGACAACATGACAAGGTACAAGGCTCGTTTGGTTGTCAAAGGTTTTGGTCAAAAGAAAGGAGTTGACTTTGATGAGATTTTCTCACCGGTGGTGAAGAGATGACTTCCATTCGAGTTATCCTTGGTATGGCAGCAAGCATGGATCTTGAGCTCGAGCAGTTAGATGTTAAAACTGCATTTCTCCACGGCAATTTAGAAGAGGAGATATACATGGAGCAACCCAAAGGCTTTGAAGTCAAAGGTAAAGAAAATTTGGTGTGCAAGCTCAAGAAAAGTTTATATGGTCTTAAGCAGGCTCCGAGACAGTGGAATAAGAAGTTCAACTCATTCATGGTGAGTAATGGGTACAAGAGAACTCATGCTGACTCTTGTGTCTATATCAAACAATTTTCTGGAGGTAAATTCATCATTTTTGTTGCTTTATGTTGATGACATGTTGATTGTCGGTCAAGATGCTTTTATGATTAAAAAGCTCAAAGAAGAGTTATCTAAGTCCTTTGACATGAAGGACTTAGGGCCAGCCAAGCAGATTTTGGGCATGGAGATAATTCGTGACAGAAAATCCAAGAAGTTGTGGCTGTCACAAGAAAAGTATGTTGAACGGGTGCTTGAAAGGTTCAACATGAAAACAGCCAAATCGGTAAGCTCACCTTTAGCCAATCATATCAAGTTGAGCAAAGAGTCGTGTCCAAAAACATATGAAGAAAAGGAGAAAATGGCAGTTGTTCCCTACTCTTCAGCAGTAGGAAGTATCATGTATGCAATGGTGTGCACACGGCCAGATATTGCTCATGCAGTAGGTGTGGTGAGCAGGTTTCTCTCTAATCCAGGGAAAGACCATTGGGAAGCTGTTAAGTGGATTCTCAGATATTTGAAGGGGACTTCTAAGATGTGCTTGTGCTTTGGCGGTTCCAAACCAATCTTGGAAGGATTTACAGATGCTGACATGGGAGGTGACCTGGATGGTAGAAAATCTACGTCTGGGTACTTGTTTACTTTTGCAGGGGGAGCCGTGTCTTGGCAATCCAAGTTGCAAAAGTGTGTTGCTTTGTCTACAACCGAGGCTGAATACATAGCCGCTACAGAAGCATGCAAGGAGTTGTTGTGGCTGAAGCGGTTTCTCCAAGAGTTGGGTTTGAAGCAAAGTGATTATGGCGTTTATTGTGATAGTCAGAGTGCTCTGGATTTGAGCAAGAACACTGCATACCATTCACGCACCAAGCACATTGATATTCGTTATCACTGGATTAGAGATGCTATCGAGAACAAGATGCTACAGCTGAAGAAGATTCATACCGATAATAATTCTTCAGACATGTTGACAAAGGAGGTCACAAAAATCAAAGTTGGAATTCTGCATTAAGGCTGCTGGGATGGACTCCAGGTAACTTGGAGTCATGATCGGAATTCCTCCCTCATGGACTGGAGGGGGAGATTGTTGGTATATGGTCCAGCCCATGATCAATGTTCTAGATTATTCTAGTAAGCAAGAGAGATGGCTGGAGCATGCTAGACAATTCTAGCATGTTATTAAGTTGATGGAAGAAGCTAGAGAGTACTAGCTTCCTTGGTTGCAAATGGAAAGATCTAGAAGCCACACTTTTGTGGCTAGTCTAGATCTTTCTATGCTAGAGGTTTGAAGAATACACTAGAAACTAGTAGAATGCCAAACCCTCACCTATAAATATGGGTGTGATGTTGTAGTGAACCAACAAATCAAGAGAAGAGTGAGTAGCAAAGGATCAAGTCCAAAGCTAGAGTTCCACTCCAAGAGTGAGAGTGAGAGTGTTCCACTACACATTGTGTGAGTGAAGTTTAGAGTGATAGAAAGTGTGTGTTATACTTTCTTGTATCCATCAAGCCTTGTCTTTGGCTTGGTAAGACTACTCTTGTTGTATTCATCTTTTTCATATAGTGAAGATTCCTTGTTTGGTGGACGTAGGCATAAATTGCCGAACCACATAAATTCTTGGCGTCCATTTTCTACTTTACCTTGTGCATTCTCTATCTTGTAGTACCGACATTCCTAACAGAAACTTCCTTCGACCCATTTGTTTTCTTGACCCCGCCATACGAACCGTTGAAAAATTCCTGATTCATCTAGCACCCCCCTTGTGAGTACTGAGCCATCTGTAACAGTATATTCTGTATATATCTCATCTGTATCGTTCACAAAGCTGCGGAAACTACTAGGTGTGTATTCGGGGACCCCGCTCAATCTCTGGCCGGTCCAAGTTCCGACTCGAAACCATTTGGTTCGACCCTTGTAAACAATGAACTGTGGAAACCCGGTTGGGTCAATCTCATACGAAAAATTCCCCGATCTGGGATCATCGTGGGACTTCCAAGATGTTAGGAGCCAGTTCAGCCCCGACCGCCGGTTCAGCCCAATCTTCATTAATGGAAGCAGTGTATCTGAGGGGTAATCAAAGCCTTGCCACAGCATCCTTTGGCTACTACCACTATTCTCAAGCAATACAAGATTTCCTGTATCCAAAAGTTTGGCTATTACGGAATTGTTTGGCGAAGAGACTGTGACATTAGCAGACCAAAGAGGGGTACTTCGGTCCTTCCCATAAATAACAAGGCCTCCATGATTTCCAAGAATAGCTAAGAGCCCAGCTCCAGCAATAGGAATTACGGGGTTGTCTCTGTTTGCAGTCCAGACGATGGTTTGGATTGGAATTTTGTTGTACCAAACTCCAACATAACGATTATGAGAATTCCCTGGGCTAAAAAACCCTAGTGCAAAGATTTCAGTGGTGGATAGAAGAACGTCGCCATCTCTTAGGGGTTGGTTTGGTGTAATGGCGTCTAGGGTAACCGAAAGGGAAGAGGGAAGAATCACGAGGAAGATAAGCAATATAATTATGACAAAAAATAATTTAGTAGAATTCATGGTTAGTTTCTCATTGAGGAGTTTAAGTGCTAAAAAGGTTGCTTCTTTTAATGGCAAGCAGAAACAAAAAGCCAGAAAGGTTGGATTTTTTATTTTGGAGATTGAGTAATGCTAACAGCTCATGGGCGAGCTCCAGTCGTTGATGCTACGGTCAACTCACCCACAACTTCCAGTCAAACTGATCCTAGCTAGAAAGCTCCACTCCATTAATCCTGACCACACCCCAGTTGTATCCAGTCGATTGATAAACACAATTCTTATTAACGTTTCTGTGCATGCGAAAGAATGGCAGAGCTCAATTGGCTCCGAATGGAGCCAATCACGAATTTAGCGAACCAAAAATATCTCACATCGAAAAATTGATAAAGTCCAACATATATATAATGTGCTCCTAGGTGGTAAGATGCTAGGTGTGATTAGTAGTGGACACTATGATAAAAGTGATCCGTGATAAAATGAAATGATAAACCAATTTGAAAAGTCCTAGGATTTTTTATTTGGCATGCAAAGAATCACAGGTCAACATCTTTTCTCCTGTCTGAATCCCAGCAGCCCAAACCTAGACAAAAAAACTTACCTGTTTCCCATGCTATGCTGAAGTTTGATTACCACAAACCTCTCATTCTTCAGCACTAATTGATGTCAATGTCTGTTAGCGATCAAGTTCCCACCATAGTGTGTCACACAATTGACAGAATTAATTAGCTAACTAGACTCGTATAATTTTTCTTCAAGTACTTAACAAATTCGCAATCGTAACCAATAATTCTGACTCCTTATACACGTCAAAGCACTCAAAATATCTTAAAGAGTTTAACTTCAACGAGGTTCTATGCTACTATATGTCACATCTTTAAAGAATTTTCTTCTTCAGTGCTGGGTGATGGGGACTTTGCATGTGGTCCAATATCCTAGTAGATAAGATGTTGGGTTTTCATCCATGCATCTTAGGTTCGAAACTGCCCATCTCCTAAGTTGTTGTAACAGTTTTGAACCCTCCCCTCCCCTTAATAATATTAAAAAAAACTAGGTGATGGGTCTCCACTATTATCCCTCCTCTTCAATAAAAATGCTCGTTGTTTTGGTGAAGGAGCTGCTTCTGCATTACCTAGCATGAGAAAAACCGCCGACATGCATTGTTGTCCGGTCAGTGGCATACTCTTGCACACATAAGCTGGGCAATTTGGATGCATCTCAGAGCTTGGTTGACATGGTACGATTCGCCCTAGTTGATAAGTACGTTTATATTTGTTACTTCAAGTGTTAAATCCCCTAATTATCTTCATCACCACTCATCATGCTCTTGGTTGTAAGAAATTTTCATTGAATAAGATGTACAACCCTAAATCATTAGCGCACTTCAGCCATGGTTTTCGGTAACTCGTTTAGTGAACAAATTTCTCCTTGCGATGCTGCTGAGTTTGGATTTCTGGATTGTGACATAAATGCCGGTTTCTGGGGAGAGGAAGAGTTGTTTCATTACTCAACATGAAAATAACTTCCGACATGGTTGGCCTATCCGATGCACTTTCTTGCACGCAAAGTAGCCCGATCTGAATGCATCTGGAAACCTCGTGTGCAGGATATGACTGATCCAAAGATGGATCAACTATGCCTAATGCTAGCTCCTCCCTCCACATATCCCAAATCTGATGCAATTAGGATCATTTTAGCGCACTAATTGATGTCAATGTCTGTTAGTGATCAAGTTCCCACCATAGTGTGTCACACAATTGACAGAATTAATTAGCTAACTAGACTAGTATAATTTATCTTCAAGTACTTAGCAAATTCGCAATCGTAGCCAATAATTATGACTCTCTATACACGTCAAATTCATTTCTCTCTCACTAAACGGGCTCCAAATTGATCGTCATATCAATATATGCAAGAAGAAAAGGATAATGAGAGGCTTGTGATCACTCCTGAGTAGAATGTAAGAAGAAAGAAAGGATAATTCGTTGTTTTTTCAATAAAACTCGCTACACTCATGTGCCTTTTGATTTTTCTTTCGGATTTGCGAGCTTCGAACTCGCCACTCTAAACACTAAACCCTAAACACACTTGATTTTCTTTCTAAAAATAAGAACATGATATCTCATTGATGCCAAATTAGACCATCTCCAACGAATGAGGGCCAGATGACTCGTTTTAGTCCTTTGGTCTTTCAAGAAATTAATATTGTAATGAACAGTGCAGAATCATATTTCTTACCATCTCCAACCAAGGGGCTAGAGGGCCATAAGCCAAATATAGTCATGTGACAAAAAACTATCTCTAACCGAGGGTCAAAGGACTATATTATGAAATGTGAATAATTGAAATAAAATGAGGTAAGATAGTATGGAATGGTGAAAAATATGTGAGAAATGGTGCAGAGGCGAAGCTACGTAGGAGAGAAGGGGGGCGTTCGCCCCTCCGCTCGCCGGAAAACAAAGGCAGGAGCGACGCTTGAACCCCCCTGGTTTGGCCGGAAACTGGGGAGCACCAGGTTCTGAAACCAGAAACAGAGGTAGCTCGGGGAAGACGACGGGGAGGTATTTTTTTTTAATTTTAAAATCCAGGCCAAAACGACGTTGTTTTGGCCCTGGTAAAAAAAAATTAATTTTTTTGGCAAACGACGTCGTTTTGGTTGAATGAAATAAAAAAAAATATATAAACGGGGGGACCACTGGTCCCCATCCCCATCTAAACCCTAAACCAAATTAAAAACCCTTCATCTTTTTCCCCAAATCCCATCCCGTCAGTCCCCCCACCCCACCTTTCCCCCCCCCCCACACGACAAAACCTTCTGTCCTGTAGCAGATAGACCAGACACATCAGTCTGCAATTGCAAGCACACTGCACAGCCACTCCAAATTCCAATTAAGGTAAAATTTTTAATTTATTTCAAACCCTAATTGATTATTGAATATAAATTTTTGTTTAATTGATGTAGGATTACAAGGTTATACATTATATGGTTATTGATTATAGATTATTCATATGAATACTATGATTATTGATTTTTTTTTTTGAAGTACATAAAAGAGGATTGATACATTATATATACATTAACATAATGAACCCCAATTCAACTAACTAAAACCCTCCTTCAAATGCATTGTTGGTACTTATTAATTACATTTGTAGTCTACATACTCTACTGTAGAATAAAAATTGATTATTCATATGATATGATTGTTGGTACTGATTAATTAAATTCGTAGTCTACTCTAGGATTAAGAGTCTAAGATATATTTGTTTTTCTTTCGTTATACAGTTACGTAATGGAACGATATTATAAGAAACAGTGCTTAAATCATTCTCCAAATATTCCGGATAGTCCTCCTCTTATTGATAATGAGCCTATTATGCAACGTTTTCTTGACATGAAACCTCGTCGACAACAATTGTAATTTGTTTTTATTGATTAATTATGGAAGACATTATTATATACAAAGATTTAGTTGTTGCTATTTTTTTTTAACCTTGCACTGTTTTAAGTTCGCCCCTCCCCCTGAGAAATCCTGGCTTCGCCACTGAAATGGTGTGCTCTTTGGCTTAGCCTTTAGTTAGAGACGATTTTCAGGCTATTTTTGACCCTTTGACCCTCTGAACTCTTCAGTTGGAGATGATTTTATACACAAAGAGCTAGACAGAGGAGTGTTGGACGCATGTGCAGCAGTCAATACTAGTTTGGTATGTCATTTCATCATGGTCTTGGTACGTTCTAAGCGGATTGGGTTCTTCTGCCTTCTGGAAGTGTGTATTTTGTGAGATCATAGTCATCTAACTAATCTAACGGTTCTCAGAAGACTACATCAATGAACCACTAAAATAAAAATGGGCTCACTTTAAGGCTCTCAATCCTTGTGGGCTTTACTAAGAAAAGACAATGTAGAATCCAACACTATTTGGGCTTTGAAATGTGTTGGGCCTTTGAGCATTTCTCGCGGTATGTTATCCACACACCTTTTCCATCTTTGACACTTTGACACACTTTTATTTTATTTTTATCGATGACTTATTTTCAATTATTCAATTAGACGGTTAAAAATTAAAATCAATATGTCAAATCGTTAATAATAAAAAGCCAGTAATTATATATCTCCAAATAATGGTTTAACATGTATCACATTGCAGGGATGACTTTTGTACTCAACTAATCACAGCACTCCACGTATCCGAAATGCCATGTGTTCTGTAGCCGACGGAGACAAGTGAAGGAAGCTCTGAGTCTCAGCGTCCCCGCAAACCTCCAAAGAAGGCGCACCGTACCAACCTACACAGTCGCGCACTCAGAATGCCTCACAGCGCCGATGACAAATCTCCGGAACCGGCCGAATTCTCCGGCTCCGACATCGAGGAACAAAAAGAAGAAGAAGAAGAAGAAGAAGACCCCGAATTGTTAGAAGAAGAAGTAGAAGAAGAGGAAGAAGAGGAGGCGGAGGAGGCGGAGGCGGAAGAAGAAGAGGCGGAGGGGGAAGAGAATATGGAAGACGAATTAGAAGGAAGGGTTGAAGTGGATATGGATCTTTCAGATTCACCAATTCGATCCCGTGATCATCACAACGGTTATTTACCTCTTCTATTAACCTACTTTCAATTTAAATTAATTAAAATTCGTTTGATTTTTTTGGGATATCGGTGTTTTTGCTTTGTTGACTTCAAATTTGCTATGCATTTGGATTGATTCTGTTAATTATGGCTTGATTGTAGCAATTCATACTTCAATGCTGTGCCTTTTTAGCTTAATTTGGAAAATTATGTAATGCAATTGGGTTATAAAGAATTGTTGTAAACTTGGAACTGTAGTTTGAGGAGTATGGGAAAAGTTTCGTTTGCGTGTTTGAGCTTATAGGTAAAGCATCTACTTGATTCGATGTCAATCCGTTATTTGGTCCAGTCATTACCCCCTTATCTAGAAAGCTGAATGTTCCCGTTTTATTGAAATTACTGCCAAAATTTAGCTCAATGATAGATTGATTTACTTGATTGTTATCGAATACGTATCAGCATTCTATCTCTCACCAACATTTTGGTATAAAAGATGATTATATGGTTGCTAACAAGGATGCTGGAATCCTTTCAGGCCAGAGAACCTCTGTACACCTACACAATGAGGTCAATGGTCATCTGTGTAATAGTGAGATTATGGATGCTAAAGTGGCCAGCTCATGTAGAGTTGGCGGGGAAGAGATGGCTGATGCCACCCCGATTAGGGATC